GGGGCGGGGCTCACGGTTCCGCTGGGAGCGTGGTGGTAGCTAAGCGCCGGGAAACGGCCTCCCTTGCGGAAGCCGGCGCTGTGCGCCAGGGCAGCCTGGTGCACCGCGCTAGGCACTACCAATGCACCGGGGTAACTGGGGAACAAGCTGAAGTCCTCGTTCACCTCGCTCAGCCGCCACGACAGCTGCGTAGGTCTGCGACGCAGCGAGGGGCGCGGCCAAGTTTAGAGGACACAGACTGGCCCTGCGTTTCTACATCTCCGGGCCGTAAGACCGCGCCCACCTCACGAGCTTATAACAGCGTTGGGGAGCGAGGAAATGCCAGGCGTCTCCTAATCTCAGGCCCCTGGGATCGCAGAAGAACGGAAAGGACGTGATGACCGATTCCAGGGAGGACAGGGCCTGGGGAAGGCAGTCAGGGGTTCTGGGGAAGATCGGAATAGTCACCCGCGCCCTTTCCAGCCCCTCGGCTCCACAGCCTCTCTGCATACCCCAGACCACCCTGCAACCTGCCTGCCATTTCGTGACCTGGAACACTGGAAGCAGAGCTCCTTTTCACGGTAGCACTCCCCTCCATTAGGGATACGCATAACTTAGGGTCTTCGGTACACTCTCAGCGTCGCTTCCACGCCATTTCCAGCTGCAGCACCCGCAGGTCCTTACAGCGCAGCGTGATGTGCTGGAGTCACTCGCAGCCCTAGGGATGGACGCGCCCAGGCCCAGTGCCCCCTCGCCCCTCTAATCGGGGGAAGAGAAATGAGTTTCATGGGACCAGAAGCTAGGCAAGAGAGCCAGCTCCTGCGCTCACCCTTCCCCCTCTCCCCACCCAGCCGCGCACTTCCCTACTCTGGGGACGCCCCCGACGCGTCTAACCGCTTCTCGATAGAGTCCACACTACGCAACAGCAGCAGCCACAAGTCTGGAGTGGAGTGGACTGGGACCCTGAATAGAAACAGGTGGTGTGCGGTGACGCATAGCGTGCCGCGCAGCGGGGCCACCCCCGGACCTCGCAGGAGCTGTGCCTGTGCTCGGCCAGTACTGATCAGCTCCGAGAACTCCATTCTGCCAGTAGGGGTCTTGGTGTTCAGCAGAGGACTCCTGGAGCGTCGGGCGGAGACGGCGGGCTCCGAAGGGGACAAGAACTGGCTGGGCAGCTGTTAAGGAGGCCCCTCAGAGGAAAGGATTTCAGATTTTCACCGGAATTCTCACCTCATGATGCCAGTATCTCTTAACGAGGTCCTTGGCCAGACCCTATTATAAGGAAACCTCAATTTCATCATCTGTGAAATAGGGAGATTAATCTTGCCTAAAGCTCTTAACTTTGTGCTTGGGTAGCAGGAGACACTCAATATATATGTATATATTTTTTAAGCCCTGAGCATGAGCACTACCGCTGACTAAAAAGACAAAAAACACTTACCATCTCTTACCCTGGTGTGGAAGAGCTGGAAAGTGTGGGTTTGAAACTGGGAACTGCCTACTTCCTCCCACATAAGATCCTGAGTGGGGGAAATCCCTTGGTCCACTTTAAACGCAAGCGGCAGCGGTGTAGATGGCTCCCCTCCCCCTTCACATCTCTCACCCACTTTGCTGGCCACTTCTGAGTCCTACCACCAAGAACCCCATCCCCTGTCACTCCATCCTTTGACCAAATGCGTGTTGCCCATATTCTGAGCTATGTTTGGTGCTGGGACTCAGGGGTAACAAGAAGTTCTATGTGGGGGGGGAGCCGGTAGCTCAGTGGGTAGGGTGCAGGCCACATACACAGAGGCTGGTGTGTTCGTTCTGACCCGCCCAGACCTGCTAAATAATAATGACACCTGCAACCACACAACAACAACAAAAAAATAACTGGGTGTTTTGGCAGGTGCTTATAGTCCCAGCTACTTGTGAGACTGAGGCAAGAGAATCGCTTAAGCCCAAGAGAGTTTGAGGTTGCTGTGAGCTGTGACACCATGGCACTCTACCCAGGGAAACAATGCAAGACTCTGCCTCAAAAAAAAATAAATAAAATAAAATAAAGAAGAAGAAGAAGAAGTTCTATGTGGCTTGGCTTGGCGCCAGCCACATACACCAAAAGTTGGCGAGTTTGAACCGGGCCCAGGCCAACTAGCCAACAATGACAACTGCAACAAAAAATAGCTGGGTGTTGTGGTGGGCACCTGTAGTCCCAGCTACTTAGGAGGCTGAGGCAAGAGAATCGCTTAAGCCCAAGAGTCTGAGGTTGCTGTGAGCTGTGACACCATGGCATTCTACCAAGGGTGACATAGTGAGACTCTGTCTCAAAAATTAAAATATTTAAAAACAAATAAACAAACAAACAAGAAGTCCTATGCAAAGGGTTTTTAGTCTGGGAAGAGACACATTTAAGCTGGTAAAATTCCAGTAGGAGGCTAAACTAATTTACCAGAGGTCTCCATCCATTCTCCTAATTTTTTTCTTTTTTTTTTTTTTTTTGAGACAGAGTCTCACTTTGCTGTTGGTAGAGTGCTGTGGCATCATAGCTCAACCTCCTAAGTAGCTGGAACTACAGATGCCAGCCACAATGCCCAGCTAATTTTTTGAGAGGGGGTCTCACTCTTCCTCAGGCTGGTCTCCAACTCTTGAGCTCAGGCAATCGACTCGCTTTGTCCTTCTAGAGTTTAGGTTTACAGGCATGAGCCACTGTGCCTGACCTCATTTCTTTCTTTCTTTCTTTTTTTTTTTTTTTTTTGCAGTTTTTGGCCGGGGTTGGGTTTGATTCTGCCACCTCCAGCATATGGGACCGGCGCCCTACCCTTCTGAGCCACAGGCCTCACCCACCTGGCCTCATTTCTTAAACGCTGATGCCTACACTGTGCTAGGTACTGATTACTAAGAATAATAAGACCCACTCTTCCCTTAAAAGGGCCTTCTGGGGTGGTGCCTATGGCTCAGTGGGCAGGGCGCCGCGGCCCCATATACCGACGGTTCAAACCCAACCGCAGCCAAACTGCAACAAAAGAATAGCCAGGCATTATGGCAGTGCCTGTAGTCCCAGCTACTCAGGAGACTGAGGCAAGAAAATTGCCTAAGCCCAGGAGTTGGACGTTGCTGTGAGCTGTGATGCCACGGCACTCTACCGAGGGCGATAAAGTGAGACTCTGTCTCTAAAAAAAAAAATAAATAAATAAGGAACTGCTCAAGTTAAAGCTTAGGGAGGGGTGGAGAGAGGAAAGACTAGGAACCATCCACACCTCTGCCCTTCCTTTGCAGGCAGCCCTTTCAGGGATTTCCTTTGAGTATACCCTGAAGTCCTTGATCTGTCCCAATAGAGTTCAGAGAAGTTCAGTGACTTGCCCAAGCTTCTACAGAGCCTGACTCCCAGGTCAGGGCTCTGGACTCCATTCCTTTGCTAAAGGGCTGTGTCCTGGGTAAAATCAGGGAACAGCTAGTCAGGCTCCTCCCACCTTTCAACTCCCTTAACTTGAATCTTGGGAGGAGGGCCAAGACTCTGGTGTGAATGATGCTTTTCTCATCCTGGAGCAACTTCCTTTCTGGGAACTGGGTGTCTCCTTCTGGGCAAAGACAATAAAATTCATCCAAGAGGCCAGAGGAGCAGGGTTCCTCCTGCCCCCACCCGGATGGGCATCACGTGGCTCCTGGGTTAGTAGTCCAGGAAAATTCCAGCCCTTGCACACTTGGCCTCACACAGCAATCTGCTCACTCACCCTGGCACACTAAGCCTCTCTAACTCACCTTGAACATTCACTATTGCATATGCCCTAGCACACTCTTTTCACCCTCAGCTTCTGCCACTCTTTTTGTTTTTTTTTTTTTTTTTGGAGACAGAGTCTCTCTGTCATCCAGGCTAGAGTGCAGTGGCCTTATCATAGCTTACTGTAACAACAAACTCCTGGGTTCAAGGGGATCCTCCTATTTCAGCTTCCTGAGTAGCTGGGACTGCAGGTGCCTGCCACTATGCCCACCTAATTTTCTATTTTTGTAGAGACAGAGTCTGTCTCTTGCTCAGGCTGTTCTCGAACTCCTGATTTCAAGGAATCCTTCCATCTTGGCCTCCAAGAGTGCTAGGATTACAGGTGTGAGCCACTGTGCCTGGCCAGTTTCTCTACTTGTCTTTGAGCAATATTGCCAGGCTTCCCTAATCTCAAAGTGGCAGCCCTACCCTATCACTCTCCTCAAAACAACCATGTCCCTGGGGCCGCTGAAATTCCAGGCATTAGGAGAAGAAGATGAAGAGAACGAGGAGGAGGAGAGCCTGGACTCTGTGAAGGCACTGACAGCCAAACTGCAGCTGCAGACTCGACGGCCGTCTTATCTGGAGTGGACAGCCCAGGTCCAGAGCCAGGCCTGGCACAGGGCCCGGGCTAAACCTGGGCCAGGGGCACCTGGGGCCATCTGTGGCTTCGATTCAATGGATTCTGCTCTTCAGTGGCTCCGACAGGAGCTGGTGAGTCTGGTGGGATGGGCAGGCCTTCATCCCAGTGGTCTTTAGGGCCCAAGATCATGGGGGTGGGGAGGGGATGAGAATGGACCCCACTCTCGGCAACTGCCCACTCCTGTGCCCTGCGACCAAGAAGCCAGGAGTAGATGTGTCCAGTGTTTCATTTGGGGAGTCTTGCTGAAGAAGTATGCCATCCTATCTACTGATCTAGTGTTCCTGTGGCTCGGGAAACAGCTCTGCCCTTGGGAGGCCACCCTTATAGGCATGGCTGGGAATTGCTGGGAATTTCTATGACCCAAAGATACAGTAAAATACATAAGGAGTTCACTGATCATACTGTGGGCAGAATCTGAAAAGGTGAGGTGGTTATCAACCCAACACTGCAAAGATAAAGATGCTAGGCTCCAACTTGTAGATTCTGCTTTCATTGATCTGTATTTGCTTAATAATGGCTCCTGGGTGGCGCCTGTGGCTCAGTGGGTAGGGCACTGGCCCCATATACCGAGGGTGGCGGGTTCAAACCGGGTCCCAGCCAAACTGCAACAAAAAAACAGCCGGGCGTTGTGGTGGGTGCCTGTAGTCCCAGCTACTCAGGAGGCTGAGGCAAGAGAATCGCCTAAGTCCAGGACTCCAAGGTTGCTGTGAGCTGTGTGATGCCACGGCACTCTACCGAGGGCAAAGTGAAACTCTATTTCTACCAAAATAATAACAATAATAATAATAATGGCTCTGTTTGAGAACTACCAGTGTGGAGGAAAATCTGAAAGACGGGGAGGCATTGAGCTCAGGCGAGAGGACCCTGGGGAGGGCACAGCCAATGCAAAAGCGCTAGTCGACCTGAAGGAAGGAAGGGCGCAAGGCTTGGAACTAGCCCCTTAGGCTCACGCCCCCTCTCGGCCGCAGCGGGAGATGCAGGCGCAGGACCGGCAGCTGGCCGGACAGCTGCTGAGGCTGCGGGCCCAGCTGCATCGGCTGAAGGTGGACCAAGTCTGTCACCTGCACCAGGAGCTGCTGAATGACGCCGAGCTGGAGCTGGAGTTGGAGCCTGGGGGCGGCCTGCCTTTGGCCCCGCCGCTGCGGCACCTGGGCCTCACGCGCATGAACATCAGCGCCCGGCGCTTCACCCTTTGCTAAGAGACACCGGCTCTTCTCGCCTCCAGGGCCACCGCTTTCCCAGCCTGCCTGAGAATAGGGGACGGAGGAGTGTCTAGAGGGAGGAGTCCCCCACAGGCTCCAGAGCCTGCTCTTGAGAACTGAGTCCCAAGAGCACAAAGCCTCACCATCCTGTCGCCCCTACTGCCCTGGTGAGGGGGAAGGAGAGAAGCTGGTGAAGGGAGGAGCTTAGACCCCCAGGTTCTTCAATAAATGCCCTCTCTGCTTCTCAAGAAGGTCTCTGCAGTCGTTTATTCAGACCCAAGGCCGTTGTCTGTTGTCTGTCGCTGGGACCACCTTGAGAGAGGGCCCGTGTTGGGGTGGAGATGGGCTGATGTCTGCTCACGTTCTCCGCAGCTCCGGCCCTGTCTCTCTGTCTTAGTAAGACCAGAGTCTGGTCAGGCACAGTGGCTTCTGCCTGTAATCCCAGCACTTAAGAAGGGTGAGGCTGAAGTATCACTGGAGGCTAAGAGTTAGAGCCCAGCCCGGGCAATGTAGCAGGATCCCACCTCTGCAGAAACAAAAACAAAAACAAAAAACCAGACGTGATGGTGCACAACTGTAGTCCCATCTGCTGGGGAGCCTGAGGCAGGAAGATGGTCTGAGCCCAGAGGTTTGAGGCTGCTGAGCTATTGATGATGCCCCTGCACTCTGGCCTGGGGAACAGAGCAAGATCATGTCTCAGAACAAAAAAGAAAGAAAGAAAGAAAAGTGGGAAAAACTTAAAATCCTATCCTAATCATCTCCTTGGGAGGTGACTTAGGTAAATTGGGCTGCTATAAAATACAGAATCTGGTAATCCTGATTTAAAGCCAGCGCTCCTATTTATTTCCATGAGAGCCCCAGGAGGTTCCTTTACCCCTGAATCTGTTTTCTCTCCCCTACAATAGAGATGCCAATTCTCACTCCACAGGTATCTGGAGTGAACAGTAAGCGCTTAGGACATGTGAGTGATTACTGTCACCAGCGGTCTTACTCCTTTTGCGCTGAACCTGGAGATGGACTGAAGCATTTCGTTTACAATGCAAGGACGACTGGGCCCTGCACGCCCCAACTCTGGGCTCTGGGTCACTCTGTAGGTTTTTTAGTTTGTTTCTCTCAGCCTTTGTTTCTGTGTTACCCTCTTTGTCTAACTTTCCAACCCGGCTTGGGCTTCCTCTTCCCCCCACCCATTTCCTGCCCCCCCTTCCCTCCCCCCCGCAGCTGAGGTACACACAGTATCAGCTTCCACTTCACAAGCCCCAACAATGCTCTGTGGGCTCCCCTCCCCCCACTCGCTGTCTCAGGTAGTGACGCCTTTACACTTTCTTCCCAGTAGGGTTAGGGCCAAGTTTGGGGGCCTAATATAGGCCACCTGGAGTTTCTCACATCACTAGTGACCTGGCCCTTCAACTATAATGGGTGCCACCCCAGCCTGGCCCCAGGTGAAATGGAAATTCCTGGCTAGTCTGCTGCTTGTGATGGGTTTTTTGTCTCCTGCCAATAACAGAAAGTTCTGACAGTCTGCTGGCTGCACCTGGGTGTCTGGGCAGGCATGTTTGTTCTGCCTCCCTCCTTTTGCAGGAGATGGTAATAATTCCTTGTCTACCAGGGGCTCTGGCTTTGCCTCCACCTAAATTAGAATAGCATCCCTACTCTTCAACCATGATTGGTCGTTATTGTCCTGGTCCGTGTCTAGCAGGGGCTGTTCTGCCTGCCTCCTGAAACAGTGTATCCAGCATTCTATCTGTGAGAGGGCTGTTGGCCTACTCTCAGCCTGCCCTTGACTATAATAAAGCTATTGTCCTGTGCCCTGAGATGACATGGGTATTGTTCTGTTGGCTGACATCCCACTGTAACATGTGTGGTCTGCTCCCAACATTTTAACAGGAATATTGTTCTGTTCTCTGGCTGCGAGCAATGCAACCTTTGCTGTCAGACTAAAACAAAAGGGTCACTCAGCTCTCTGGCTGTCACAGTTGTGCAACTTGCATTTTACTGTAAACAGAGTGTGTCCCTTACTCCTTGGGGTCAAAGGCTACCCCTGAACCTCTACCCAGGTATACCCTGGAGGGCAGAAGGGAGGATCCATCAAATATCTTCCCTTGAAATTAAGCCTTTGAGTGTCACCCTTAGGGTGGGTAGGGTCTGGTCTGGAGATGTAGGGGTCAGGTGGTCTCAAGCTGAGGGGTAGGGGGCTATAGTGGCAGGAAGCTTAGGGTGCTAAATGGCTTGTGGTTGGGCTGCTGGGGCCTGGTTGGCTGCGGAGCCCTCAGGAGGAGGCAGGAAGTCAGGGTGGGACGTGGGCGCGGGGAAACAGGCAGTGGCTGCGACGACGACGACCGTGAGGGGAGCCGAAAGTGTCAGGGCAGCCAGGCTAGGCCAGGAGGACCATGTGAATGGGCCCAGAGGCTCCCAGGCTGGGCAGGTAAGGAGTATTGGGTGTAGGGGACTATGGTGGGAAGCCTGACAGCAGAGGGCTGTGGCTGTGTACAGGCCAGGCTCCCTGGGGATACAGCAGTAGCCCTTCAGGCTGGGACCTCCTCCCTTGCTGGAGGTCAGGTGGGAGGCATGCAGTGCAGCTGGGTCACCTCTTTCCTGCAAAGTGGTGGTTCTTGCCTCTGCCACATTGTCTGCCAATGGCCCCCACCTCACTGGGAGCATGCTTCTTGGAGATCTGGCACATGGGCTGTAAAGTATTTAAAACGCCTTTAGGGCTCAGCACCTGTAGCTCAAGCAGCTAAGGCGCCAGCCACATACATCTAAGCTGATGGGTTCGAATCTGTCCCAGGCCTGCCAAACAACAATGACAACTACAACCAAAAAATAACCAGGTGTTGTGGCAGGTGCCTGTAGTCCCAGATACTTGGAAGGCTGAGGCAAGAGAATTGCTTAAGCCCAGGAGTTGGAGGTTGCTGTGAGCTGTGATGCCACAGCACTCTACCCAGAGTGACAGAGAGGCCTTCAGAAATCACCAAGGCCAATCCCTTGCCCCATGAGGATGAGGCCTAGAAAAGGCCAGGCTCTTGATGTCCAGCCTCTCAGCAAGGAAGTGGCAGAGCTGGGCCCTGGGACAGAGAGACGATCCAGGCTGTGATTCCCTCAGGCTCTCAACTGAGAAGGATAAAGAATAGGCTTGAGATGGAGGACGCAGGAATCTTCCAGTCATGGGGCAGGCCCCAGTAACAAGAATTTTCTGACAGGCCCAGGAGCCGTGGCTCACACCTGTAATCCTAGTACTCTGGGAGCCAAGATGGGTGGATTGCCCAAATTCACGGTTCGAGAACAGCCTGAGCCAGAGTGAGATCCTGTCTCTATAAAAAATAGCCAGGCGTTGTGGTGGATGCCTATAGTCCCGGCTACTTGGAAGGCTGAGGCAAGAGAATTGCTTAAGCCCAAGAGTTTGAGGTTGCTATGAGCTATGACGCTACAGCACTCTACTGAGGGTAACAAAATGAGACTCTGTCTCAAAAAAAAAAAAAAGAATTTTCTGAGAGAGAAAGACTGGAGTCACCCACAGCATTCAGATGGACACATAAGAAAGAATTTTAGCCTCAGTGACCAGCAACACCTAAGTAAGGGAAGAGTCTCCCGACGGCACTGCATGGATATGTGAGGGGCTGTTTATCATCTGGGACGGAATCTCCAGGGAGAACAGACATATCTGATCTGATGCTGGGAAGTTGGAGGTGAAAGAGAATGAGGAGACAAGGGAAGAGGAAGGGCTATTTTTATCCCAGATAGGGGTGCAGTTGACCCTGGCCAAGGAACTGCTGAACTTCCATCTGGAAAGTTGCCATTCCTGCCCTTGCCAACTGTCACAGCAGGATGTCCTGTCCTCTTCTCTTGCTGCCTCCTGCTTCAGCCCTGTTGCTCCAGACCCTAGGGAGGAGGCCAGGAAGGCATAGTCAGCTATCAGCTTACTCCCTCGTTCTTATCTCTGAGCCTTTAGTTTTGGGGGGAGTCCCAACCTCAGCCAGATTTTCCAGTTTCTCCCTGCTTCACTGGAGTTTTTTGCCTAGTCAGCGTATCCCAGCCCTTCTCTTGTCTCCAGCTCCAAGGCCTGTGGCCTCTGTTGGGGCTGGGAACACATTGGCTCTCCTGTGCTCCAAAAGGAGCCCCTCTACCCTTGAACAGGCAGAGCTGCTCCTTCCACCCAG